CAGTAAATAAATCACAGACTTTAACACATCAGGCAATAACTAAAAGGAGTGAAGAGACTTGCCTGGTATTAATTTGTGCCAATTTTTAGGACTAGAAACCTCTAGTCAGACTCTAATTTAAAAATTCCCACTATCTCAGGGCCATGTGAGTGGACTGAATTCATTTGTGACATGAGATTTTTCTGATTTCTTTTTTGACAGTTCTGAGTGTCATGGATTTCCTCCCTCCTGTTTCAGAGGAAGCTCTGATTCTCTGAGTAAGTCCTGCCAGTGTTTCCCAGAAGGTGAGGCCAGCACCTCTGAGGGCGTGGCAGATGACCTAAGTCGCACACGGATCTGGTATTGAATGATGTTTAATCCCTCAGTGAGAACACTGCTTTATTCCATGCTCTTTCAGTCTCTGACAAGGACAAAGACTTGTATCCGTGTTTAATGCCTCTCCACCAACAACCGTCTCCTTCTTCAACAAAGAGCAGTGGACATGCTGGGAAGCTTAGTGCAATCTTTTCTAACCAGAATTTAATAGTATTGTTTTACTTACTTTCCTTTATGGCAAATGATGCTGATTTTCCAGTGTTACTTTTTTAAGTAAAATAATAAATTTGATTGAAAAATAAAATATTGCTAAATAACATAAGTGGGGGAAATGATCTAAATAGCAGTATATGAATGATAAGGAAAAAAACAGGAAGGTAGTGCTTGAATGATCAATCCTGGGCATTACCACATTGGCAGAATCCATTATAAATAGTTGTCTACTGCAATTTGTTTCTTCTAAACTACAAAGGACAACCTATGGTCTACCTCAGTCTTCTGTTTCAAATTAAAGAAGTTTTTTTTTTTTTTTTCCTTCCTCTGCAAGTGGTTATAGCTTCTTTGGCTAATCTTTTGGGTTAAAGAACCTACATCATATTTTGATTTTCCCAAAGGGATCTTTTCCTTATCAACTTTTCATTTCCTTTTCAAGCTGTTTAGGACAAATTTCTTTAAGGCAGGGCACTTGAATAAGGACACTTGAATAAAGCTTCCCTCTACTGTATGCAGAATTCTTCCATAATAGCTCATTTGGTATCAGAGGATGATGCTCACCTACCTACATAATGCTTTCTTGGGTGACTTAGTTTGTTTCCCGTTGCTGTAACAAAATACCTGAGATTGGGTAATTTGTAAACAAAAGAAGTTTATTTTGGTTTATAATCCTGCAGGCTGGGGAATCCAAGTGCACATCACTAGCATTTGTTCAGCTTCTGTGAAGGCCTCATGCTGTGTCAACTCATGGCAGAGAAATTAAAGGGGAAACAGGCAGGTAAAGAAGAGATGCACAGGTAAAGAAGAGTGTGTGTGTGGGGTGCCAGGTTCACTTTATAATTACCTGCTCTGGTAATAATTACATATTCCTAAGAGAATGACAATAATCCCTTCATGAGGGTGGAGATCTTATGACCTAATTACTTTTGAAAGGTCTCATAACCTCTCAACATTATGTTGGTACCAAACCTCAAGATGTATTTTAGTGGGGACAAACCACATTCAAACTACAGGGTATCTATTCCTTCTTCTTGATCATCTTTCTTCTCTCATCCTCTGAGGATGGGATATTTCAGTATATCTGATCATCAGTTCCAGCAAATGAGACTCTGAGAATCCTTATGCAAACAGGGTTCTCCATGGCCTAAAGTTTCAAGTTAAATATAATTTAAGTCCCACAGTAGAACACTAGATAATTTTAGAAATTAAAACAAAAACAACCCCCCCAAAAACAAACAAACAAACAAAAAAAAAAAAAAAACAAGGAAAAGAGGTGATTGCAAAGGAAATCAATCACACAGTTTCTAAAAAGCAATAATTAGAAATTTAGTCTTGAGTTTTAAGATCATGAGTTAAAATTATTTATATTTCATGTTTTTTTATGATAAAAATTTTTATTATAGGCTTCAGTGGAACTGGATACAGTTTTCTATGTCCAGATCAAATGGAAGCAAGTGAGCAAGTGTATTTTGAATATCTACATGGCTAACATATCCTAGGGCTCTGAGTCAGATTCAAGGAATGTTAATTTACAAATGTTTCAAATATGATAACTCCTGGGGAAAGAAAATCACTCTTTTGATTCTTTTGGTAAAAGGCCCAGTATCTAATTTTTAATTTTTTATACCATCTCTGATTTAATGTTCTGACCACATTACAGAATGTGACTCAAACAAAGACCACATTTTTTACTATGCCATTTTCATAACAGTTGAATCCATACACTTATCTCTATGGTTACTTTTTTACAGTGTACACTGAAATTTAATATGCTATCCTCTGGCTGTCCCCTCTAATACATTAAGTTGATAATGAGGCCATAACCCAGGAGTGAGAAGTAAGGAAGCAAAATTATGAACACAATTAAAATAAACAGTGACCATGGATTTACTAACTCCCAACTGTTTGCCTAAGTTCTACTTTGGGTGTGGATTCTTTTATTACATCTCACTTTCACTATAGTGAAGGGTCACTACATTAAACTACTTATATAAGAAGACAAGCTTGTCAGATTATATTTTGAAAGACTATAATATTTTAAAATTTATAACTCTTGTCTCACATTTTCTACAGACTGTACTGTGTGATGCATGATAAAATGCCTCATGACCTCCAAGATACCTCCCATATTTTTAATCTTCTGTGAAAAAGTAATATTTTGCTGTTCCTGGAAATAAAAATATATGTAATAGAAACAAGAAGATAATAAAGATCTAATGAAATATTTTAGAGTGTGTATGTTGGGTGCATAGAAAGATGGCAGAAGGAGGGCAATACAGAAATATACACAAATGTTTGTAAATGAAAATTGAAGGATACCAAAATACAAGTATATTCATCCATTAATTTCTTAAAGGCAAGGTCCTTGATTATTTCTGTATATTCACTTTTCATTCCCAGTGCTGAACACAAAAACAGGCACACAGTAATAAGTTATTGTATACTTATTAAATGAATGAATACATATGTGCATGAAGAAATTTTATGGGAACACAGAAAAGGAAACATTGGACATCCTGGAAATGATAGAAGTGGGTGGATTGGTGAGAGAAGAGGTCAGGGAGTAAAGATCTGTAGGAAATACTGCTAATTTTCCCCATTAGCCATTCTTTTTTTTTTTTTAGTAACAGTTCCCTGATAGTTAGATGGACACATTTCCCAGCTTCTTTAGCAGCTAGTATGCCTTGTAACTACATTCTGGCCAATTTTATGCAAGCAAAAGTGATGTGTGCACCTTTCAGGTTGTGCCACTGAAAGGCATGGACATGCCCTCTCGTACCCTTTCATCCCCCTTTACTCACTGCCTGAAAAGGGATTGGGGATTCACCATTTTAGACTCAGCCGACAAGGGCAAATCCCTTAGAGGCAATCCCAAGTGGGACTTTGGGTCCCTGACAACTTTGTGGAGGAGTATCACCAGCCCATCAGGACTTCGTGTGAGAAACAAACTTCTGTTTTAAGCCCATGATTATTTTAGATCTGTCTCAGCGGCTAAATTTATATCCTAACAAATGCAAGCTTCAGGAAAGGCTGCCACAGAAGTGGCGCTGGCGCTGAGTTCACCAGGTAGACCTAGCGGGGAGGGGTTTCAAGTCTGAGGGGCGTGTGTGCAGAGATGGAAGTTGGGGAGCTGGCTTAAGGGTGACGAGCAATGACGATGGAAAGCAAGGCAAGGGTCAGATACTAGAAGACCTGTCCTGCCTCTCTCAAAGGTTTCGATTTTACCCTGTGGCCGAAAAGCTACCGCACAGCAGGAGTGTAGGATGGAAGATTCAAATACAACTCACATGCAAAAAATCAGTCGGGTTTCTAGGAGAGGGAAAAGAAATTCACAGAGGCCAAAAGACTTTTCCAAGTTAGTGACAGAGGTGGAATAACCAGACGAGAGTTTTTCGAACTGTGGTCTTCGAGCTGATTACATCAGAATCACCTGGGTTACCTGAGGAAAATGCAAATTCCCGGGTCCTTCCCCGGAACTACCGATTCTAACCACAAATCTCTGGGGATGGTTTCTAGCAATTTCCACTTTTAACGAGAACTTCAAGGGCTTGAGAGTTGACAACCACGGAACCACGGCAGACTACTTTGAAATAGCTCTTTTAAGTGTTCACAAATACGACAGAGCGTGAGCGCTCGGGCCACTTGTGATAGACTGGGCCGAGCAGGTGCCACTCCGCTCACAAGACGAAGAGCCACTTACCCGGCGAGAGGCGCCCCCGGCCAAATCCCGCGGGAATAGCCTGAGCGCGGCGCGCGCCCATTCCCGTTGCCATGGAGACCGCGCTCAGGACCAGTCGACCGCAGGAGCGTGGGGAGGCCGAGTCCTCCGCTGCCTGCGCCCGCAGGTCCAGCCGTGCTGCGCTCGTCCCTCTCCGCCGCCGCGTCCGCGAAGGAGGCCGCACGAGGCCGGGCCAGGACCGGAGCCGCGCCCCTTTTCGAGGAGCCCGATCGCGCCCAGCGTTGGGGGCCGTGTCCCCCCCTGCCCGAACCTGGACGGTGGGAGTGGCTGCATTTGAACCAAACGGCCTTCGCGGGCAGCTACCGCTGCAGACGCCACCGCTTCAGCCCCGAGCTCCCGAGGGCCTGTTGCCGACACCAGCCTCAGTGCCCAAAGTGCAGAGGCAGCCGCGTCTCTGTCCCCAAAGCTCTGGGAAACATCCGCCCTCGGGGTAAGGGCGGATTTGTGGGAGCAGGGGACCAGCGCCTGCGGGGCCGCAGTTGCGGTCACTGGGGCCCTCTGTCCCCACCCTGGCCACGGTAAACGTCGCTCGTCTCTTGGGAAGCGGCTCTCCATCTCTCCTCTCCTTTCTGAGTGCTGGAAGTTTCTCTTGGGGCTCGTCTGACTCACAGTATGGGATGCTTGGACCGGCCAGTGAATGCCACCTTGTAGTCTTTGACGCCACAACCAAGGGGCCGTCCAGAGAGGTGCTGCAGAAATAGTGATTGACCGAGATAACCTTTTCCTTCCACAGAAACGATGCTTAAGATACAAGGAAAACCATTTCCCGGAACATCTTAATTGTCACTGAAGCTTGAGCTAACGACAGCCAAGGGGCAAACATGTTGAACTCCGCAAGTGAACTGGAGTTTTCGGACGAAAACAATGTCGAGGAGATCTCCCAATTCGCTTCCCTGGAGGTGTCAGGTGGCACAGTATCCACCCAAAGAAGTTCGATTATTGTACCCGAAAAAACGGGCTACCCGGACTCCGTGTACGTTTTGGCAGCGAACATTTTTCAGGGTATTCGAGTGGAAAAGTCGTCAGATAAAATCTTAATAAAGTACGGGAATGAACCCCTGCCGTCCTTGCCCGAGTTTGAGGATGAATCTGTACAGCGGTTGTCCTATGAGCTGGCTTTCAGTACCCTGAAGTGTGAGTAGTACCAGTCTTGAAGATGAGCATTAGAATAAAACGATAAGGAGAGAATCTGTGAAATGCAGTCCCTCAAACGCATCAGGTTTTTAAAAATTTTTTTATTTTTACCCATGTGCACATCGTTGGTTAATTGCAAACGTCAAGGAATTAAGGAAGCTGTAGTGGATCTAGCTCCATTTTTCTCAGTACCTAGCCGAGTGCCTTGTCCTTAGATTTACTGCATGGTCATTAAAATGAGCTGGAGGCTGGGGTTGTGGCTCAGTGATAGAGCGCTTGCCTGGCATGTGTGAGACACTGGGTTCGATTCTTAGCAGTACATATAAATAAATAAATAAATAAAGGTCCATTGACAACTAAAAAAATATTTAAAAAATAAATAAATAAAATGAACTGGAAACGATTCTGTTAGTAAGGAGAACAAGAGCCTCCTTGAGTGTCTTTCCATTCCCTGTATGTACATCTTATATATTAGTTTATGAGCTTGCATAAACATAAAACCATTAAGAGAATGTTGGAAAAAACATGAAATAAAACGAAAAGGTGCAATATTTAAAAAATGAGTATCACCATTAACCCTAATTAAGATGATTCCATCTTTTAAAAATGTCTTTATTTTTACGTGGTGTTGGGGTTCAAACCCAGGGCGTCGCCCATGCTAGGCAAGCCCCCCTACCTCTGAGCTACAACCCCAGCCTAGATGATTCCATTTTTAGCAGATAGCTTTAATTTTGGGAGCCCAACTTCAGTGTAATTCCCCTCTCTGCCTCCAGGGTTCCAGTCCCAATGTTTCAGATTCTCTCCCCTGTGGTTGTTAATTATCAACTTCTGAGTGTGGAGCTGACACTAGGAAAATACCAGATATTGTTACTAAGAGGAAATCTGTCAAAAGGTCAGGAGTCTTTTGTTTGTGTACTAGTTGTAACCATAAATGTTATACTGGTTTGTAAATTGCATGTAGGTCCAAAAATAATTTCCCTAAATGTTTGGGAGTACTGGCAGCCTGACTAAACTGATGAGCATATGGCTTCCCAAAGAGACACCTTGAAGAGGTATGATATTTGTAAACTCACATTTGGCTTATATATTTTATATTCAGAGAGTCATGATTTAAGAAAAACAAAACAGGATTTCATCCCTAAGGTCTTACAGGAACAGTAAAACTCTAGAAGTTATTGTATAAAATAGAGAGTCTCTTTCATTTATGAGTTTGTGAATGGGTGATTAGATCTCATTACCATCATTTTTGGAGAAAGTAGGAGAAGGAAAAACCAAAATCTCTAAATTATACAAATATTAAGTGTATCCCTCTGGTTGTGTTTTATGCTTTTCAGTTGTATTGTTTGTGTCTTTGTGGATGTCCTTTTTTTTGCATAAACTCTTTCAAGCAAGTAGAATTTTTATCTGATTAACCTTTTAGAGTTTTAAAGGCCTCATTATGATTTTTTTTTAAAAATAAAAACTAGTTCTATTTTTACCAGATAACCACAAGGTCAGTTTTTTGCTAAACAAGGTAGAATTACTAATGAAGAGAAACCTGTTCCTATTGTTTGACTTCTGTCAAAGTAGTAGAGTACTAGCAGCTAATTTGTTTATTTTTCAAAGAATCTCTGTATGCTTCAAGTAATAATAGATATTAAAAAGAAAAACTGGTGAAATGATTTCTTAAGAGATGTATGAACAACCAATAAAAGGAAATGAAGACAAAAACAACTTAAGGAGAGAGAGAGAGAGAGGTCCCCGAAATTGCTGATCTTTTCCCTGGCTAATCTTTCTTTGAGTTTTCTAGGTGTATGTAGTAATGGGTCAACTTTTACTCCTAGGAACTGACTGTGATATTAATCTGATCATTAGAGAATCACATATTCTGTCATTTTGGGAAGTATATAAATTGAAAAACCTAGTAAATGCTTAACACATGGTTTGGTTCTAACTTTTGTGTATTAGTAATTGTAGCAGAGGGTTATCCAGGCTACCCTCAGGTTCAACAGTTCCCTAACAGAATTCATAGAGCCTAGCAGAGCTTTTATACTCAAGGTTACAGTTTCTTACAGCAAAAGGACATGGATTAGAATCAGCAGCCAGGAAAGTATGTAGGACAGAGTCCAGGAGCAGATATATGCAAGTGTCCTGTTGTCTTCTCTCAATGGAGTCTTATTGACAAGTGCTTAATTCTCCTGATAATGATATATGACAACAAGAATGAAGTATTGCCAACCTGGGAAGTCACCTGAATCTTGCCGTGTAGGATTTTTATTGAGGGTCAGTCTTATAGAGTGCCCATGTCGCTGCCCTTGGTTACTCAACTAATAGTGTCTACTATGGGACTCAAAGCCCCAGATAAAGAAAGACACAAAGACAAGAGATTTCAGAGACACAGAATTGGTTCACAAGTACTAGGATGTAAAACTATGAACTTCATTTTCCTTATAAATGAAATGGGAACATTACCTTGTACAATATATATCCATAATTGATGGCTAAAATATGGATAATGATTCACAAAAGATTTCCTTTGAAAATTGGAGTCTATATTCCCAAACTAGTATTCTTTCTAGTTTTCCCATCTCCCAAATAAAGGTTTAAATTCAGCTTACCTCATATGTAACAGGTTTTCCATAAATGTTGAACAAATTGAAGATGGCCTTGCTTTTTGTTCAGCTGACTAAAGCATCTCTCTCTCCCTCTCTCTCTCTCACACACACACACACACATACACACACACAAATGAACTGCATATAATATGTAAGTATAGTTTAAGTAGTTATATCACAAAAGAACATTCATGTACTGTGGAAGTTTTAAAATATATCATATCCACTTTTGTGCATGCTTGTAATCCCAGCAGTTCAGAAGGCTGAGGCAGGAGGATTCCAAGTTCAAAGCCAGCCTCAGGAAAGGTGAGGCGCTAAGCAACTCAGTGAGAGCCTTTCTCTAAATAAAATACAAAATAGTACCGGGGATGTGGCTCAGTGGTCTAGTGCTCCTGAGTTAAATCCCTGGTACCAAAAAGGGGGAAAAAAAAATCCCACTTTTTTCCATGTAGTACCTTTGCAATAATCATTCTATTCTCTCTACCTGGCCTACTGTCTGTCCAACCCTGCTTCCCAGATCTTTACATGACAATTCCTTGTCACTTAGGTCTTAAATTAGATATCATATCAGTGTCTTCACTAGTGAGTTCTCCAAATATTTCAGTTGGAAATAATGCCATTCTAACCAAACTATTGGAGAGAATAGAGGATGAGGGAATGCCTCCCACTAATTTTATAAGGCTAGTATAACCTTGAAACACTGTCAAGGATGTTACAAGGAAAGAAAATTTGAAACCTCATAAACATAAATATAGGACAAAAATTCTAAATAAAATATTAGCAAAAAATAGGAATACTTAAAAAGAATAAGAGAAGGGTTGTTTAACATTATTGTATCTTTTTATGTCTTTCAAAAGACAAATTGCAAGGTTGAAATTCCTTTATGACTACTTTGATTATTCAGAGAGTGCTTCTTTGACTATGATTCTATGTGAAGCCTGGGCCATTAGGGCCCAGGATTCATAAAGATTATAAATATTTTATCATGTCATTTTAATTTAAGTCTTCATTAAGAATGCAAATACACTTTGGATATGAAAGTAAACTTACCTTATGGCATTATTTAAAGTGTATTTTGACTCCAAAGTTTTCATTTTTAGCCTTGGTATCTCTGGTAAACAGGCATTTCCCTTGTCTTGCAGATCAAGATATTTTGGAAACTATGTTAATCGACAGCTATATCTTCCCAAGTACCACAATAGTAAGTAGACAACTTTTAGAATCAGCTTATGTCATGATTATTCTTAATTATTAAAAAGCTTTCATATTTAAATAATAGCTACTTTGCTTAATGCTGAGACCACTTCAAACTACAGATTCTTTCTTCTAGTTTGAACCCTTGTCCTTTTCATTTTAATGAAAGTACAAAAAAAAAATTTTTTTTTGAAATTTTTTCTACTGGATTTATTTTTTATTTTGAAGACCTTCCCTATTTTCAAGTCTAACCAGACTTTGTAAATATTGTCACATTCCTGCTCTGTTATGAAAAATAATGGATTATAAAATGTTACTATTAGATTTTGTTTGTATAGTTTTCTTTTTGTGTGTTTCCTCTTGGTAGCCAGATCATTTGAGCAGTCTTATTATTGTGATGCTGTATGATTTTCAAGATAGAAAATTTCAAAATCGTGTTCTTTCTGATAATGAAGAGTCCATATTGGAAGTTCAAGAAGTAGAGAACCTTCTTAACAGGTAAGTTATAAGTAAAAATGGTTTAATATTTAAAATCAATATCATTGTTTTTACTGGCAAAACTGTATGCAGTATAGTGTGTGTGTGTGTGTGTGTGTGTGTGAAAATTTTATGAAGATGAAATATACAAGTTTATAAATTTCTTGAGTTCCTTTATAAACAATTTTGAATAGATTATCCTGTTAAAAATCAAAATGTTTTGAAACCTTGAATTATAAGATTCAATGTATTAACATGTGAGAATCTTTAAAAATTCTTAATAGTTTTTGGCTTGTACATAATTCAGACTTCATCTGAAGCAGCTATTACTTTTTTCCTTAGTTTTACTTTCATGTCTTGAGAGCTTGTTTGGAGGTTCTAGCAGGGGAGCTCAGCTAGTCTGTATACCCTTGACTGAAGACCACTCCTCCTCTATCAGGGAAGGTCATCCTCTTTGACCAAGCACACAGCTTTGTAGCTTCGGGTGGGATGCACATGGAGTGGTGAGGGTGCAAGGGGACTCCCACCTAGCCAGCCAGATCAGCTAAAATCAACCTGGGCAATCAATGGGGTGACAGATGTCACAGCCAGTTCATCCTCACATCCATCTTATTTACATGTCTTTGAAAACAAAATCTAATATGAATCAAAAGTAAAAGTCTGATGTGGACAAGAACATACCATTTTGCCAAACAGGAAAAAAAATCTATTTTTCTAAGAACAAACTAACGGGATTTAAATTTTTTCCTTTTTTATCTTAAATATCAACATATGCCTACCATGAAGATAATAAATGCCTACCTCAAAGAGTTGTTAGGAGAACTAATTAATTAATACATGTAAAGTGCTCAGGATAGAATCAGATACATAATAATGGTCAATAAGTGAGATGTTGTTATTTTCTTTTTCTTTTTTTTTTTTTTAAAGACTTAGAGAATTTTTCAATATTTTTTTATTTTTTAGTTCTTGGCGGACACAACATCTTTATTTTTTTTTTATTTTTATGTGGTGCTGAGGATCGAACCCAGCGCCCCGCACATGCCAGGCGAGCGCGCTACCGCTTGAGCTACATCCCCAGCCCCATATGTTGTTATTTTCTATGGTTTGAATAAGTCTCCCAGAGTTCTGGTTGGAAATTTAATCCCCAATGTGGCAGTATTGAGAGGTGGGGCCTAATGGGAGCTGTTTAGTCATGAGGGCTCTGTCCTCCTGAGTAGATTAATGCCATTATTAAAAGGGCTTGCAGAAGTGGGTTTGCTGTCTTACATCCTTGCCCTTCTGCTTTCTGCCATGAAGAAGGCTCTCACCAGAAGCCAACATCTTGATCTTGGAATTCCCAACCTCTAGAACTGTGAGAAAATAAATTTGTGTTCTTTTAAAATTACTCGTAAATTTTCTTAATATCCTATTATTGCCCACAAAACAGACTAAGACAGTGTTGGTTATAGTTTTTCTTATTATGTTGTTGAACTTTAATAGAATGTACAATATAGCAACAAAAACAATCTTGTAGGAAGTATTTTACCTAATGAATAGTCTGAAACAATTGTTAGTTTGATATCTGATTTTATTTTTATGGGAAATCCAAATCATTTTATTTAAATTATTGAAGGCTGAAACCAGAGGACTCATATAATAGTATAATAATAATAGCTTTATTGAACTTTTAGTATGCCTCAATCATTTCTAAGAAGCTGTTTATATGAGTTGGTTACTTTCACCAACTTGTAACGTGGGAAAACTGGGGAACTAGTAGGTTAAAGTAACCTGTCTAATGCCACAGAACTAGAAAGGGGATAGCCAGAATTCAAACTCGGGTAGTCTGACTGCAGAGTCTATGCTTTAACATTTTATATGCTACCATATAAAAAGTAGCTGACCGGTTTGGCTGAGGTACGCTGCTAGATTAAAGACATGACATAGACATAGCTTATGTCAATCAGCCATGAGAAATTGTGGGAATGGAGAAGAGCAAAAGCAATCAGATATATGTACTCTGTGTTAGATAAGTGAGGATCTACCCTATGTTTACCACTTGGGTTTTGGAGGAAACACTTCCCTCCTCATACCCACATGGGCATCCTGCTTTCCAGAACAGGCATCCAGGATGGGGTAGAAAACTTGGTGGAACAATATGCTGTGGGACAGGCTCTGAGTTTCAGTCTTCTTATGCTTCTAAGTGAGGACTTAGGACACTTTCCTGGCTGTCTTGATAGTCTCAGAGGAGCTAATGAGAGCTGAGGTTAGGCTGAGTTAACAGGCTCTAGCCAAGTAAGAAAGACCAGACTGATTTCATTAAGAGTAGACTTTAGCTGAGGAAGCTAGTGAGGCAGGTAGGAGTTGGACAGGTCAAGGGGATGTCTTGGTAGGCCAGAGGAATCAGATTGTGTGACTGTGTAGGGACTCCTAATTCCCCAGTTTTCTCCCTTTCCCCATAATACTCACTGCCCTCCTCTGGTCTGGTAGATTACATTGGTGTCAGCACAGTGGGTTTTCCCCCAAATTAATCAGTCCCATTATACTATTATTATGCTCCATTCATTATATGCGGTAGGAGAAATGCTTGTATTTTGTAATTGAATTACTGAGACTAGTAGAGCAGTGATGGGAAAAATATACATAAAAAGAGTTACAGTATTTTAATTCAGAGTTCTAGCTTTCAAGTAATAGAAACCATCTTCAGTTAGATTGAGTGAAAATGGAAAATGTTCTTATAGATACTTGGATCGTGTTCTTTTTTTTAATATTATATTTTAGTGGTAGTTGGACACAATACCCTTATTTTTATTTATTTATTTAATTATTTATTTTTATGTGGTGCTGAGGATTGAACCCAGGACCTTGCATGTGTGAGGTGAGCGCTCCATCTCTGAGCCACAATCCCAGTCCCTTGAATTGTGTTCTTACAGATAGAATTCAAAGACTCTGAAAGAGACTGAAGTCAGGAACTGGAAAGATGTTAGGACTTTATTTTTGCTTTTTTTTTTAAATCAGGGATTGAACCTATGTGTGCTTAACCACAACCCCAGCTCTTTTTTTATTTTTTATTTAGAGACTGGGTCTCACTAAATTGCTTAGGGCCTCACTAAATTGCTGAGGCTGGCTTTGAACTTGTTACCCTCCTGCCTCAGCCTCCTGCTGGGATTACAGGTATGTGCCACTGCATCCAGTTGCTTCTCTATCTCTTTATCTTTTTGTCTCGTTTCCTAGTATCTGCTTCATTCTCTTTTTCTCTGCACTTTTGTCTTCTCTGCTTCTCTGGTCTATGCAGAAAAGTCCCCTACTGTTTTACCCCCATACCTGAGCTTATATGTGATAGTCTTATGCTAGTTTCTTAGTGGAGACATACTTACCATTTCTATATCCCAATTCTAAATCCCATGAGTAGGGCTGGGGTATGGCCCAGAGCACTTGCCTAGGATGCATGAGGCCCTAGGTTAAATCCCTAGCATGGTAAAACAAATACAACAACAAATTTACCAATCTAAATTCCCATGAGAGGAATTTTGATTGGCTCAATATGGGTCAGGTACCTTCTTTTGGACCAATCCTCCATAGCCAATTCCCAACTGCAAACAATATGTAGGTACTAACCTCTGAAGATCTTCTGGGGCTCTAGGGTGGGTACTGTTGGGAAGTAGAATCACACAAACTTCAAAGTATATTTTAGTATATATCTATTGATAGGATAAAGGTTCATTTTAAAAGGTGTTAGAAGAAATAATTATTGAGAAATTGAATGAGAATGATTTCCTCCTTAGGAAAATTGTGTTTGTTGTTGTCTCTCCCAGGGATCCTTGTGTTTTTTCACACTAATACTTCTCTATACCAAATTGTACCTTTTCTTCATTTATTCACAGCTTCAGAGATGCGATTTAAGATGATACCTATCATCATTTTTTGACATACACAAAAGTCTTTAAGAACTCATTCCTTGTATAAAATTCATTTTTATTTTTGGGTACCAGGGACTAAACTCAGAGGCACTTACCCACTGAACCACATCCCCAGCTCTTTTTTGTATTTTATTAAGAGACAGAGTCTCACTGAGTTGCTTAGCACCCCACTTTTGCTGATGCTGACTTTGAATTCACAATCCTCCTGTCTTAGCCTTCTGAGCTGCTGGGATTTTTAGTACTATATGATAAATTAAGGAGAAAGGGAGAAGGGGAGGAGGATGGGAGGGAAAAGGGCCAGTAAGAGGGGGAGATCATGAACTGAAATAGATTTCCATGCATGTGTGAGTTTGTTGGAAAGAATCTAACTACTATGTTTAGCTATGAAGCGCTAATAAAAAATTATAGCTCATGAACAAGAGAGAGAGAGAGAGATACTGCTGCTTCTTGCTCCCTATGCCTTCCCACCTGCTTAAAACTATTCTTCTGCAAAAAAATTTGTTGAACTTTCATGGGCTGGAATTGGGGTGAAATAGGCAACAGAATAGAGTGGCAGTGGGGAAGGATCTAGTGACTCCATCCTCCCAAAACTATTCAGCCTGAAGTCCTCTATGTTACAATGAAGTTACCATCAACCTAGCTATCATCCTTGATTCGCCTTTCCTCCCCTCCATTGGCCCTACCATATCTAATGCATGAAGTCCTGCAACTCAAGTTCAAAAATGTTGAATCTGTTCATTTACTTCTCTTTCCAAAACGATGCCACCAAAATCTATCACTTAGACTATTATGACAGCTTCCTCATAGGTTTTCCTGCTTATAACTCTTTACTATTACTATTACTATATCTCAATCCATTCCACATGGCAGGTAGGGTGATATTTTAAAAATGTAATTATATGATCATGATAGAGTATCCTGAATCAGACTTGTCCAACCACTGTAAGCAACTAGAAAACTGGATAAAATACATTAGGTAAAAGTTTTGGATATTACACAAGAAACAGCCTGGAAACTTGATCCCTGAGATGACAAAAACAAATGAATTGAGCCTTAGAATAGTCTTGGCTTCATGCCTGGGGTACTTTCAAAACTGCAATGCAGGAAGTAAAAAAAAAAAAAAAAAAGGCAATCTTGCTGAGTTAAGAAAACAAAGATCCAAATTTTAGAAATCTGAAATAACCATTGATTTTTTTTATTCTATACTGTTGAACAGTAAGGTAAATTATATCAAATGACTTATGGGTATTAAAACAACCATGCAGATAAATCTTATTTGCTCAATTATATTCATTTTCTTATTTTTCCTATAATTGCCTATAATGCTCCAGAGTTTCTCTTTTGCCAAAATACCTCTTAAACACTGCTTATGGGTTTTATCTCTCATATTCCAGCCCTTCTTTGGAAACTCTTTACCTATTTCACTTATTTAGTGAAGATTCTGAAACAGATGCCTGTGTTATCAGGGTGAGCAGCACCCTGAAAGAGCATGTTCCTGCTCAGGAGGTGTGATCCGCCTGGAAAAGTAAAAAGTCTGAAATAATAGTAAGAAATAAAGACAAAGCCAGAAATTAGATATAAAAAGAGGAGTGTCTGATGGGTCTTCTAGCCCTGCTAGGAGCTGGAACTGAACAACGAAAAAAAGGCCCTGGTTCTTTAAGGGGGAGTATACCAAAGGCTGGGATAAGGTTTCAGCAGGAGGAGCCTTTTTTTTCCCCCTTTATTAAATTATTTATTTATTCTAATTTGTTTTACATGATGGCAGAATGCAGTTTATTTCATATTACACATATAGAGCACAATTTTTCAAGTCATTGGTTGTACACAAAGTATTTTCACACCATTTGTGTCTTCATACATGTTACTTAGGGTAATGATGTCTAACTCCTTCCACCTTCATTCCTACCCCCTTGCTCCCTCGAAGAGTTGGTTAAAGTTATAATATTATTATTAAGGTTATTCTTATTATATGTTATTATTATTATTATTATATTATCCTCATTTACCATGACAAGTACTTTCTGTTCTGTAGCTAATGGATTTAAGATTTAAACAAGAATTATATAATTATAGTTTAACATTTAGAAATGAAGCTCTGACTCTGTATGCATAGGGATACTGGTAAAAGAGGAATATGGGCAACTCTGTGATAACACACGAATTAATAGTATTTATTATTGTAAATTTGAACTAAGTAGGAATTTAGAAATATTGTTTTATCAAAAATACTCTGTAATCAAACATTTCATGGTGTGCAATATAGAATAGTAACTTACTTTCTTTTTAAAATTTTTTAAATTTATATATGACAGTGGAATGCATTATAATTCTTATTACACATATAGAACACAATTTTTTATATCTCTGGTTGTATACACAGTATATTCACACCAATTTGTATCTTCATACCTGTACTTTGGATAATAATGATCATCACATTCCACCATCATTAATAACCCCATGCCCCCTCCCGCCCCTCCAACCTTGTAACTCACTTTCTTTATATTAATTTATTCTTTGGTGTGTATTAATGTACTATGTCATTTTTTAGGTTCCTTGCTGTGACATTTAGACATAGGACTAGACAAGTCTATTTTATTGTAGCCTAAAAGGTTTAACGTTTGATGACCCTTCCTGTTCTCCCTAAGTGCCCCATGTTCTTTTTCTCATAACTACACATGCATTCCCACATAAATACTTTTATGGGTGAGAAGTTCTCGTGCTGTTGAGATATATGTAGTTTAAATAAGGGAGAATACAGCCATAAGGAAAATAAAGTAGTATTTAACAGTTGGTGCTGAAATAAAACCGAGCTCCTCACTTACTACCCTTGTCCTGCCTCCCAGTCTCTGAAGCAAATCAGCTGGACCTGACACCAATTCTTGACAATGTCCATTTCTTTCTGTACCACACATGAAGTTCATGACAACTGTGACATCTCTTCCTCATTTCTTCAAGGTTATAGTTGAGGTTTATTTTGGTTAAGTCCTACCATGAAAGTGCTAGGAATATGTATTCTCATTTATGAAACATTTATTGGGTCTTCATGGTGATATTAACCAGTTCTTGTTTTTCTTTTCCGTTATTTGGAATTTTGAGGCATGTGATATTCAGAACTGGACAGGATTTGATACAGATTCATAAAATTTCTTTACTCTTCTCAAGATTATATTATTGCCATCTATGATAATAACAACTAATCTCTAGTGAGTGCTTTCTATGGGCTAGGCACTGTGCTAAATATTTTGTACACTTGGTTGGTAATGACTATATTAATAGTGAAGTAAGTTGACCATCCTTTCAGATGAGAAAACTAAGGCCAAAGAAGATTAGGTAATATTCCTGAATATCAGGTAACATTCCTGAGGTCACATAGCTATTAAGTGATAGAACCTGGATTTAACTTCAGATTTGTCTGACTCTACATCCTTTTCACTAAATAATATTTATTTTTCAACTAACAATAGATATAAATATTCGAGGAATGCACAACTATACAGGGGCAGCAAAAACAGAAAAAGGAAAAAGATTATTGTATTTCTATTATCACACTTGACAAATTTTTATTTTAGGCTTTAACTATTTGAAGTGAAATTATAGATGAATTGTTTAAAATTCTGAAAGTAATTTGTTAATATTTCTAATGGGGAATGGATAGTCTTGTCTCAAATGCAGTAGTCAACAAAAATTGATTTTCTGTTTCTAGTTTTAAGACAAAATTGGCTGCAGCATTGGCAAGATGTCGAATCAAACATGATGCCCTTTCAATTTATCATATTCTGCCAGAAATAGTTAGGAAACAGGAACTAAGGGCCTCTACTCTGCCACTTTATGCTTGGATAAATACTTGTAAAATCAGGTAAGAGTTTTAATCAAATTCTTTATTCATACTTCAAGTCGCCATCCTTTTAAAAAAATGTGATAAGGGGCTGGGGTCGTAGCTCAATGGTAGAGCGCCTGCCTCGCGTGTGAGAGGCACTGGGTTCAATCCTCAGCACCACATAAAAATAAATAAAGATACTGTGTCCATCTACAACTAAATTTTTTTTTTTAAATTGTGGTAAGAAATATTACCTTTTTAAGGGTGAAGGGGCACATCCAGGGGAATGATTATAGAGATATCATAGTTTAATTCCAGAGCTTATCACCAAATTACCGAAGGTGATTATATAAATATGTTAACTTTTGTTTTCTAATTATCTTTTAGCTTATTATTGGTTAAAATTGTGAGTTTTACTAGATGCAATATATGTAGTAATATTTTTCTTTGTTGCTGAAAAAAAGTATTAATGTTAAATATATCTTAATGTTGTATACTTACAGCCCTGAAGAAGTTTTTATTAATTTGAAGAAAAGAGGCTATAATGAAGTAAAATCTGTATGTCATATTGATGATAAAGTCTTTGCTGTGGACCAACATTGCTATGATGTCTTAATATTTCCATCTCATCTAAAAAAAGATCTTATAAATATAGATCTTTTCAAAGATTATAAACTTATTTTTCAGGTAAAATTATTATTTACTTTCATTGTAATTTTCAACAATGCTACTTAGTCAAAGAATCTCTCTACCTAAAAATAATACCTCACTGTTTATATTTTTTATAGATTACCAGGGAGGTTATAAGGCCTAATTGTCACCTTGAATAAAATTAATAACTCCATAGTCAGTGTTCCTATTATGTTTGTCATCTTAGTCTCACATGAAGTTGTAAAGAACATATTCTCCTCTCAAGACTCATAAATGAGATTACTGACAACTGAAAGATGCACTTATTTTTTCTTCTAAGATTTGAAAGAAGCTTTTTTCTTCTAAGAAAAGATTTGAGAAAAGCTACAATGAGATCTTTTCTTTCTTCCAATTCTGGGGAAAATATGAGGCCATCCTGCATATAAAAAACAAATCATGTTGTGCTCTCTTTAATTTAGTGTCATAGATTTGATTTGTAAGAGGTACATAATTGATATGAATACAGGCAGAGAATGTGAGGCATACTGTGGTTTCAATGAAATGAAATAATTAGGTGAAATTCATTTTTATATTCTTCGACTCCAATTCTTGACTCAAATTAGACTTCTAAGGTGAATTCCTGGGCAGAATCTCCTTATCAAGAACTAAGGTCAAGGACTGGGGATTTAGCTCAGTTGGTAGAGCACTTGCCTCGCATGCATAAGGCCCTGGGTTACATTCCCCAGCACCACAAAAATGAACAACAAAAAACCTGAGGTCAACAGCAGAAGCTAGTTCATCAAATCATCTTTCATAATATTTTCAGACTTCATAATTTTAATCTCTCTGAGCTAGTAGTAGTTTAGGTGACAATGTAATGGGGAAGAAAAAATGGCAATAACCAGAGAATGTATTTTCATGAAGTGGTAAGAATGGGAGCTAAGACAAGACATTTCTAATCTATTAATTATATTTTAGAGATTTTAGCATTGTCTTTTATACAAAAAAATCAAATGATAGTAATTACTTAGGCTAAATGAAGTTAAGGTTTTTGTTATAAATATATTTATAAGATATATTTGTAAACTTTTTATTTAGACATATATAATGATATTTTAAACTAAAAAGGACGAGGTAGCTCTTCAATATTCCTACCAAGTATTTTCTTTTATCTAAAACAAAAAGAAGTCAGCTTATATTTCAGTCATATTCTTTGAAATTCTCATCATACTATTATTTTGTAGGATAAATCTCGAAGTCTTGCTGTTCATTCTGTAAAGTCTTTAATAAATTTGGATGATGACGTCTTAATGGTCAACACAGGTTCATGGTACACAGTTGCCCATATGTCAGTCCTAACAAATGATAATAATTCAAAAATATTTGTTTGTGGAGTAAACTCACAAGAGAAGGATCCTGACTTAAACAACCTTTTCACAAAAATGGGATGTAAAAGTACGTACAAATATGTATTGTTTGGTGATTATTGTTCTACAGGATTTTAAAGACGTTAAAAATGTTCAAATTAATTTATTTTTTGTAATGTAAAATCTCCATAAACTATACTCTTAAAATTCTCACTCATCTATATTGCATCAGCTGTTATTTTTAAATGTTTTTTAAAGGTATTTATTTTTTAGTTGTAGTTGGACACAATACCTTTATTTCAGTTATTTATTTTTATGTGGTGCTGAGGATCAAACCCAGTTCTCGCATGTGCAAGGCAATTGCTCTACCACTGAGCCCCAGCCCCAGCCCTATTTTTTAATGTTGATTTAACAACTGTAGGTTAAAGTAATTAATATCTTTGTACTTTGGAACAGTGTTTGATATTTAGTTGTGAACATAATTTGAGACCCGAATATTTGGTTCAAATAGATGGGGCTCATCATTTAATAAATCAGAATATATTAACATAAGACTTAATTGACAAAGATAATATGAAGGTCTAAAAACCAAATCTTTTAGGATTCCTGTTTTTTAAGAAAATTTCCACTCAAATGTATATACTAAAGATCACATTTTATTATAGTTTCAATGAAACTGAAAAAGTGAGCAAAACTGTGATAGAGTCACAAGGCCAGAAAGGCAAAAGGTAGAATTCAGGGCTTGACCAAAAGAAGTAACCTGATAAATACCGACGATTTTTCTTAGAGCACAGGATAATGATCATGGAGCCCAGATTCCAGTTATCTTAATTCCCAATTGGACAAGGTGATCTAAGACTGCAAGTGCCCAGGTTTAACTAGCCCATTCTTCGCCTGTCAAAAGCAAAAGTAAATTCTCTCTGGAAGAAAGTAACATCATCCTGAGTTTCCAATTAACTCTTAAATTTTTCCAAATGCAATGTCTGGTACTCAGTTGAATAAATAGATAAAAAAGAAGAAAAGTAATGACTCAAATATTAACCTAATAACAGATTCTACATTTGATCTTGCCAAAATACCAAGAAGTGATAGATATGATTCAAATAAATAGAAGATACTACAATAGAATCAGACCCACACAGGATCCACATACTGAGTATATCAGATGTGGACTTCAAAGTAATTTATGATTAATGTGTTGAAGGAATTGAATAGCAAGCTTTAGATTTCAGCAGAGACATGGAAACTATAATAATATTAATAATAATAATAGTTATTATTTTAAAAAATGGAACCAAGACAGATGAGGTGAACACACCTGTAATCCCAGGTACTTAGGACACTGAGGTAGGATTGCAAGTTCAAAGCCTAGAGAGATCCTGGTCTCAAAATAAAAATAAATAAATAAAAAGGGCTGGGGATATAACTCAGTGGTAAAGTGCCCCAGCGCTGCTCCTCCCACAAAGCCAAAGAAAATTCGAAAATGGAAAAATATGAAATTAAAAAATAAGTGGGATATAGCTCAGGGGTAGAGCATGTTTGATCTCCAGTACCAAATAAAAAGGGGGAAAAAAGAGGAAGAAAGATGGATGGGCTTATCAGTAAATTAAAGCTAAAGAAAAAGAAGTAAACTGATGGCTAGAAAGAAATATTCAGACTAAAGCACAGGGGCACAGAAGTTTGAATAATATGAAAGAGACTCAGGAGATTCAGTGATCCATTGATACCATGTGTGTTATAATTGGAATCTCAGGAAGAGAGAAGAGGAATTGGGAAGAAACAATTATTTGTTTTTCAGGTTGGGAATTTTCCAAAATGAATGAAAAACTTTAAGCCATAGATTCAAGAAGACATGTGAACTCTAGTAAGAATATATGGCAAATATATGCTGTAGTTTATTTGTTTTCTCCCAAAATTCACCTGTTAAAATTCAAACTCCCAGGTGATAGCTTAGGAGATGGGGACTTTGAGAGGTGATGAGTCCTAGAGTGGGATTAGTGCCCTTATAGAGTATAATGAGACCCCATAGAGTTAAGTCAGCTCCCTGAAAAGGGGCTAACTCACTTAATAAGACCCTTGTTAATTCCTTCTGAGGGCAGCATTTTCAGTGATCTAATTACCTCTTACTAAGCCTCACCTCTCAAAGGTTCTACTGCCGCTTAATTACTAGAACACTGAGACTAGGCTTCTAATACATGAGTGCTTGGAGGACACTATTTTTGAAGCCTCAAACTACAAACAACCTAAATATCTACACAATAGAATTTTATACAGAATAAATTGTTACCACAAATGATGTCATGGGGGAATCTCATAATATTGATCTTCTAACCAGTAGAGGATTTTTTTTGGCGGGGGGGCAGGTACCAGGGATTGAACTCAGGGGCACTTGGCCACTGAGCCACATCCCCAGCTCTATTTTGTATTTTATTTAGAGATAGAATACTACTGAGTTGCTTAGCGCCTCTCCATTGCTGAGGCTGGTTTTGAATTCAGCTCCTCCTATCTCAGCCTCCCAAGCCTCTGGGATTACAGGCATGTGCCACTGCGCTTGGCTAGGAATTTTTAAGACAGAATATTAATGGGATGAGGTAGAGTAGTATTAATAAAAGGAAATGTATATCAAGAAATTTTAATGATTTATTCATTTAACAAATGTTTATTGATGCATGTTATTAAGTATCAGGACTAGTATATTTTGGGGGATACAGCAATGAAACAAATTCGGTTTTTATATGAAGCTTACATTATAGTATGAGAAAGATGTGGGGGGGAACCATGAAGAAATAATAGGTTAAGGGGATAGAGAGTGTTGTAAAGAGGTTATTCTTTTTCATTTTTTTTTTTTTTTTACAGATGGTGATTAGGAAAGGCCTTTCTGATAAAGGGTATTTGACAGGAGACTTCAATGAACTGTTGGAGACCTGAGGAAATTGAGGGATATATGTGGGAAGAGCATTCAAAGCAGAGGAATAGTAAGAATAAAAGCCTTGAGGTTGTAGCATGTTTAGCATGTTCCAGGAACAGTAAGGAAATGATAGGGATGGAGCAGACTGAGTGAAGAGTATGATGAGGTCACAGGGTATATCTGGGAACAAAAATAGGGCATTCTATGCTGAAGGACTCGACCTTGAATGAGATGGGAATTCATTAGTGGATTTCAAGCAGAAGAGTGACATGCTTACCAGTATTTGGTTACTCTTTGGAAAATAGTTTACGGTAAAGGGTATTAGTGGAGAGATTAGTTAGGCAGTTTTTAAAAGTGCAGGTGTGAAAAGTTCAGAATTAGCAGATTTGGTGATAAGAGTTAGAATTTGAAATACGAATCTGCTGGCCTCCTAAACAAAGCTTATTACTTTATTCTGCATTTCTGTTTTTCCTTTCAAACCATGCATGTTGTTCATGTCTCAGCCCTCTCCATTGCTCATAGGCATGCATATAAGAGAGGGAAGCATCTATTGCCAAGGTAATGAAAATTGTAGGTGGCCAGCACCTACTTAACATTGCTGTTTACACAACATGTGCTCAATAAATATCAGAAGAAGAAAAAAGGGGGCAGGTGTGTAAAGATATTGACTTCTACCTGGGTGATAATGCCAGAGGTTGTGAGAAATGACAGACTGAATATATCTTGAAGTCACGTTATTAGGTTGGATATGGGATGTGAGAGAAGGGAAGAGTCAGGATCCACTAAGGCTTTCAGTCGTGTTAGTTTTTTGTTGGCTTGTTTGCTTTTTGCAATTCTGGGGCTCGAATCCATAGCCTCACACATGCTGGGCAAGCACTGTCCACCACTGAGCTACATCCTCAGCCTCATGTTAGGCTTTAAGATGTCTGTTCAACATTAAGTGGAAATGTAAAGCAGGCTTTTTAGGTACACCTTTTTGGAGTTTAGCAAAGTAGTCTGTGTTAGTGATATAAATTTAGAACTTGTCATTATGTGGATAATATTTAATGTCCTGACCACTATACTTTGTGTACTTAGAGTATAGCTGTAGTAAAGAAAAGAAACCCAAAGGCTAACTCCTAGACATGCCAATACTAAGAGATCAGGAAGTTAAATAAGAGGGATCCAGAAAGGGAGCCATGAGAGAAGAACCAAGAAAAAGTGTGTTCAGAAACTAGGGCAGTTACTTCTTCACCTCCTGAATTTTGTGATACTGGGACTGTACTCTGCATTATCCATTTCCCCATTGCCAGCTGCTTCAGCCATTAGCGGGTCCTAGAGACTACAAGGCTGAAGCCGAAGAGAGGAGGACTTTTCTTCTCCAGTGTTTGTTTATCCCTGTGGTTCTTGGCAGTGTTAATCAGAGCTTATTTCTTTGATAAACTTGCCCTCTTCTCAGGGGGTTGTTTTTCTGTTTTTGTTTTTTGGTACTGGGGATTGAACCCAGGGGTGCTTAACTACTAAGCCACATCTCCAGTTCTTTTTATTTTTTGAGACAGGGTCTTGCTAAGTTGCTTAGGGCTTTGCTAAGTTGCCCAAGATGGCCTCAAACAGAGGGTTGATTTTTAAGGTAGAGGTACACATGGTTGTCATCTAGAGAGACAGATGCTCGTAAACTACAAACAAGGTCCCTAGAGGTATGGATGGTATTTCATGCCTGTTTCTGTAGGTTTAGCACCTCAGACTGTGCCTTTTTTTTTTTTTTTTTAATTTTTTATTGTTGGCTGTTCAAAACATTACATAGTTCTTGATATATCATATTTCACAATTTGATTCAAGTGGGTTATGAGCTCCCATTTTTACCCCATATACAGATTGCAGAATCACATCAGTTACACATCCATTGATTTACATATTGCCATACTAGTGTCTGTTGTATTCTGCTGCCTTTCCTATCCTCTACTATCACCCCTCCCCTCCCCTCCCCTCCCCTCTTCTCTCTCTGCCCCCTCTACTGACATTCGTTTGTCCCCCTTGTATTATTTTTCCCCTTCCCCTCACTTCCTCTTGTATGTACTTTTGTATAACTCTGAGGGTCTTCTTCCGTTTCCATGCTTTTTCCCTTCTCTCTCCCTTTCCCTCCCACCTCTCATCCCTGTTTAATGTTAATCTTCTTGTCATGCTCTTCGACCCTACTCTGTTCTTAGTTACTCTCCTTATATCAAAGAAGACATTTGGCATTTGTTTTTTAGGGATTGGCTAGCTTCACTTAGCATAATCTGCTCTAATGCCATCCATTTCCCTGTAAATTCTATGATTTTGTCATTTTTTAATGCAGAGTAATACTCCATTGTGTATAAATGCCACATTTTTTTTATCCATTCATCCATTGAAGGGCATCTAGGTTGGTTCCACAGTCTAGCTATTGTGAATTGTGCTGCTATGAACATCGATGTAGCAGTGTCCCTGTAGCATGCTCTTTTTAGGTCTTTAGGGAATAGACCGAGAAGGGGAATAGCTGGGTCAAATGGTGGCTCCATTCCCAGCTTTCCAAGAAATCTCCATACTGCTTTCCAAATTGGCTGCACCAATTTGCAGTCCCACCAGCAACGTACAAGTGTACCCTTTTCCCCACATCCTCGCCAGCACTTGTTGTTGTTTGACTTCATATTGGCTGCCAATCTAACTGGAGTGAGATGGTATCTTAGGGTGGTTTTGATTTGCATTTCTCTGACTGCTAGAGATGGTGAGCATTTTTTCATGTACTTGTTGATTGATTGTATGTCCTCCTCTGAGAAGTGTCTGTTCAGGTCCTTGGCCCATTTGTTGATTGGGTTGTTTGTTCTCTTATTGTCAGACTGTGCCTTATAAATGTTCCTGACAGCCATTTCCCCCCAGGGGTGACAGAATATAAAGGGTAAAAATGAAAAAGGGAAAATAGCCTATATTATTGACTATCCTTACTGTATATGAACTGTATATGAGACACATGCTAAGCTTACCAACTTTGTCTTGATGTTCACCATTTGCATAAAGAAACCATTGCAGTCCATAAATAAGGACATGGAGGCTTAGAGAGTTTAAGACACACAGCTGGGAGTCAAATTTGAGTCTGTTTCTAAAGCCCATTTCCCCTACTCTATCATGCTACTTTAGATTGAACATGAAGTTCAGAATAAGAAATTTAATTTTACATTTGAAAATCATTCTCCGGTGGAAATAGCATCTATTAAGAAAATTCCTGTATTAGCTTTGGGAGATTATCAGAGAATACTCTGTCCTAATGCTATAAAATGAGTTTTTATGGGGTTAAGGGTTTTAAGATAAATTATATATACATTATACATACATAAAGCAGTACCACTATATTGCATTTAGATTTTTTTAGCTAATTAAATTACATTAATTTTCTGTGTTTTCCCTCAGATATTGAAATACTTCATGAGACATTTACTGACATTGAATCAAAGGATCAGAGGTTACAGAAAGTTAAAGTGATTCTGCTGTTGCCTCGTTGTTCAGATCTGGGTGTTAGTAATCCAATAGAATTTATTTTAAATGAACACGAAGGTACTTGTTTTAATTTCTAAATTATTAAAATTAGTTGATGATAGCCCATCAATTTCTATTTTAGAAAATAAATTTTATTTTCTCTTTTCTGCATTAGCCTCCAGATTGAATGAATTCTTTCTTCTGAATCTAAATGACTTAAATAGCTACTTAGTTGATTCTCTCAAAGAAAACTTGGAGAAAAACAACAAAATGTTTTTAATATTCTTATTGAAAAATAGTACTAAGACTGAACATAATTATCTTAATTAATTTTTAAATTTTTAAGCCAATACTTTAATGTTATCTAGTTTTAATAAGTATTTTCCATGAAAATTTTCATTAATAGTCAAAATGATTGAAAAATAGTGCAATAACATCAATATATGAAAAGTACCTAATAGTAATTTATTTTAAAGTATTTACTTGTTTTTAAAATTTAGATACAGATTTACTTAAAGATCTCTCTCAAGGAGGTACTTCAGAAGATAAACTTCAGGTTCTTGCTCAACATCAATATGAACAGCTAGCACATGCAATGAAATGTAAGTCTGTCATTAGAACAACATTGTTAAAATACAGTGTTAATCTTAGAAACCAAAACAAATTTTCTAGAACATACAGTCTTAGTGCCTTCAAGTAACAAATTATTTTTATAAACTTAACCTGCCTTTAAAAAAAAACATACTTTAAACATAAGCTAGCATAATTTAATAATTTCTTAATGTTAAGATGAAATAATTATGTACATTCATAATTGTTTATTTTCATCTTCCCTATTTCTGATCTTCAACTTCTTACTTGACATATTTTTCTGTTGTCATTTTACCTACACCTACCAACTCTTCTGCAGTCCATATTTTAATCCAAAGTTTATTTCTCTTAGTGCTGAATAGAGTCCAGAGTTATAGAAAAAGCCCAGAACTCTTGATTTGAAATCTGAGTAACAAGGCTCTTTAAGTATTTATATCATTGCTTTAATTACTCCATTTGGGTTTTGAGTGCCACTGCTTTTCCACAGGTGAACAAAGAAATCTGGGAGTCTTTAAGAAACTAATAAACTTTTACTAGGTCAGTATATATTTATCAAGTGCCTATTCTGGGTCAGGAATTGAACTGGATGTTAGGCTTATGAACATAAATAGATGTTTCTAAAATAAAGGCTCAAAGATGAGTCTGAGTATAGATAATTCAATATATAAAGATATTGATTTATACATGAATTATAAATAAGGGAAAGTAGCAGAGAAGAAGTCTGTTCTTTTGGTTAATGTTGCTAAAAACATTAATTTGAATGTGAAAATGTATATATGAACTATGAAATAAGTTGGTTTAGAAAATCAGGAGATTGGTAAGTAAAAATTTTTACTAATGCACTTTCATCAAATTTTAATTGAATGTTTAAAGCTTTAAAAAGACTTCTGAAAGAATCATGAAAAGCAAAAGGATTTTAGTGACATACACTCTATTGTGATGCCAAAGAAACACATTATTTGGTAACCTGGAGATTAGGAAATCTGCATCACTGGAAGACATTCAGTAAATTAAGTTCTATAATTTTCCCATAAAACAATGTTAGGTAATGCCTTATCAAGGTTGGACTCCCAGTTTTCATAGAAATTACTAAAAGTTTCCATTTGAAATTGACCATATAAAAAATAACTATGATCATTTCTCCTATTAGTTGTAAAAAATAATTAAAAAAATTTTTTTGGGGGCACTGGGGATTGAACCCAGGGGCATTTTACCATTAAGTTATATCCTCAGTTTTTTTCTTTTCTTTCTTTCTTTTTTTTTTTTTTTGAGATAGCGTTTTGGTAAATTGCCCAGTCTAGCCTCAAACTTGTGCTTCAACTTCTCATGCAGATGGGATTATAGGCATGTACCCAGCTACATTTTAAAGTTTTAGACATTTATAGGTCAATTGTTTGCCAGGCACCCTGCTATTTACTTTTTATATTTTATTTAATCCTCACAAAATCGTCTCCCTTAGCTTCCATGCCTTCTCTGAACACAGTAACAAGGTGGCTAGGCTCCCCAGATTTCTTTGCTCTCTAAACTCAGTCTTGCCACTAGTCTGTTTTCCAAAACCATCTCAGACACTTCTCACTATGTCCTTTATACCACCAAGGACTGTTAACTTGAGAAGCCCCTGACACCCAGGTCATTCCTCATCTGAATAAGATCTATAATATTCCCTTTTTTGTCTTCATCCACATCCCCTTGTCTGTCCTTGACTCCTACTTTGCTAGAATAGTTGTCTTCAACAAAAATCCCTATATTTTAATACTTCTTTGAATGTTCTCTTTTTTATCCTATAACTTGCCCTTCTCTTGAGAACAGTGTTTCTCTAAATCTCTCCTCTTGTTCTTTTCTGAGCCAATTATTATCACACTTTCACTCTTGCCACTAACCTGAGATGGTCCTGTGAAGATCACCCGTGACCCCCTTCCCACATGCTGTTACATCAACTCACAGTCTTTGTCTAACTTGATCTAGCTGTGATAGTTGACCTAATTGATCATATTCTCTTCCTTCCCACATTACTTCACTTGTCTTCTAAGACACACCACCTCAATTTATTTCCCATCTCCTTGGCTTGCTATCCTATAATGAGTATCCTCCCTATAGGATACTCTCTTTAGCCTCAGAGTATGTCACAGTTCCTGTCTAGGATTCTTTTTTCTCTGTTTATACTTACTTCCTTGATGATCTTATCCAGTCTCATGAATTTAAACACCTCTGCGTGACTCCCAAATTTCTTCCCAAAACTCTTAAGTCTGTATCTTCAATTGTCTTCTTGCCATCTCCAGCTAATGACTAATAGGCCTTTCAAAGCTGATAGATCCAAAATGAAAGTCCTGTTCTTCCTGCAGAACTGCCATTTCAGTTAATGACAATATCAGTCTTCCATTTGTTCAGGTGAAAAAGCTTTGCATTGTCCCTGACTCTTATTCACATCCTCAGCCAGCCTGTCAGAAAACAAAGGAACTTCTACATTTAATATATATTTAGAATCCAGTCACCTCCACCACTACCACCACATCCATACCATCACCTCACTCTTGGTTTACTGCAATGATCTTCTATTTTGTCTACCAGCTTCCACCACTGCCTTCTACAGTTTATTTTCAACACAGCATTTGGAATGATCTTGTTAAAACAAATGGCTTCCCATCATCAAACTGAAAACCATCATCCAGTGGCCTGCACATCCTTACTATTTGGTGCTCAGACCCACATTTAAACACTCATTGCCCACTACTCTGTCCTCATTCCCTGTGCTCTGATCAGACTGGCCCCCTTCACTTTCTTTGAACATTCCTTTAAACTTGCTGTTCCCTTACCTTAAAATATCCTTCCCTAGTTATCTCTGTGTCTGGCTCTCTAATCTTTTGAGTCTACCCACAGTCCTTCATCTCAGTGATGCTAGCTCTAATTAGCCTACTTAAAATTATAGCATTCCCCTGAAACTCTTTCCCACCCCTGCTTTGCTTTATCACCTAGATAGTTTTCCTGTTTCTTTGTCTTACTGTATTTATCCTCTGCTAGAAAGGAAGCTCCCTGGGGGCAGGGATTTTCATTTTTGTTGTTCACTGATGTATACCAAAGCCTAAGTGCCTGGAATGTGGTAGGTGCTCAATTGGTATGAATACATTAGTGAATTGCAGATCATATATTACCTAATTTTACAGGTGAAAAATCTGGAACTTTGAGTAATTTTCCCAGGTTCATGCCACAGCAAGGATAGAATTGGGATTCAGACTGACTTCTGTACATTTCTGGAGTTTTCTGAACCAATTAAGGTGATATAGATAATGAAGGAATGACTGGAAGTATCAAGCTCAAGGGAATCTGCAGCATTTATTTCTTTGTGTTTGCAACTAGGTTGGTCATATTGATTCAGTTTTCAACTTTCATACAATCCATCTGGATTTCTATTACTTACTGGCCACAGACCACATTGCTAGTATAAGCTTCTGCTTTAAAAGAAGCTGTTCAAGCATCTCTGGAAATCATTCCCATTAGAACTCTGTGGTGTTTGTACCAAATACATGTCTGGAAACATAAATTGCATTGGATCATTTATGGGGTCATTATATTAATTAAATCTTCTTTAAATATAGTTGTTAAAGCTCAAGCAGTGGTATACTGCACATGCTCAGTTTATCCAGAAGAAAATGAAGCTGTTGTGAAGAAAGCATTGGAATTTCAAAACCAAGGGGCTAAAATACAACCCTATAGGTAAGAAAGGAAGGCATTCTCCTGAACAACTCAAATAATCATTTTTTAAATGACAAATATAATGTTCTAAGTTACATAAGATATTCTGCTTTTTATTAGACTTTACTATGATCATTACCCTAACTTCTTACAACTTCAAAGTAGGTTTTTTGTAAAGCCTTTACAACAGTGTGGCACAAATATTTTCTTGCATATTAAAAGATTCTTTTGTTTTTGTTATTATTGTTAAAGCTAAAAGCATTTTGGACTTGACTTGATTGGTTTTTGGGTAAACTGGGTCCAAATTTTATGTTCCTGATTTAGATACATGTATACCTCCATAGAATACAAATTAATATATAAAATATTCTTAGAAAATAGACAGAAAATCATATCTGAAAATAGACATTTCTTAAGCCCTTGTAATCTTTGGTATCCATCAGAATTGAAGTAAAATAACTGAAGTTATCTATGGAAAAATGTTGTAATAAGCTAGGGATAGAGAGAAAGAGCATTAACATTATACTCTGAACTGTGGATTTTAAGAAAATTTGCCTAGTGAAATATAGCAGATGGTCTGTAAGAATCATTTCTTAATATCCTAAAGTTGTAGAACTTAAGAGTTGAATAAGTATTGCATGATTAAATAACATTAGGTGTTATCTACTCTGATCACCCATCCACCTGTTGCTTCTATTTCCTTTCACTGCCTTAGAAATATGCAACTCATTCTGGACTTTAGTCATCATAGTACTTTAGCCCAATGCATCCTGCTTCCATCCTCTATTGTAAAAATTTCACCTTACAAAATACTAACCTATAAAAATTTTCCAAATTCCACCCTCTTGAATATAACTGTTTTTAACAGCTTGACTTGTAGACTTCTAGATTTTTTTCCAGCACCAACGAATATGCATATTTTAAGCTTTAGTTGCTATTGTTAAATGACCCACCAAAATAGTCACTGTTGTAAATCTGTTTCCCTGCAGCTTCATAAATGCTGAATTTCATCAGACTTTTAAATCTTTACCCATCTGAGGGATGAAAAGATAAGATCTCACTGTTGATCAACTTTATTTTTCTGTTAGTGAGGCTGTGTTTCAGTTTACTGACTGGGCAGTGTAGTGGGGAGTGGTCTTCAAACATGTTTTCTCAACTCCCTAAAATTTTTTTGAATAACTGTGTGTTTTAAAATTGATGTTTAACATTTTTCATAAGTTTAAAAGTTGTGAAATATAGTTTTTTAGAATATTATATTACTTATATTTTAAATATATTTCTATCAAATCTGTGGACCTGCAGATTCATCTATTTAATTTAAGGAAAAATGATGCATTTGTTACTTACTTTATAAGACTAGTTCTCATTGTCAAAACCAGATTTACCTTTAAAAAAAAAAGTCTGATTTTAGGGGCTGGGGATATAGCTCAAGCTAGTGTACTTTCCTACCATGCTCAAGGGCCCTGGTTCAATCCCTAGTACCAAAAAAAAAAAAGTCTGACTTTATTTTTTAATTCAAAGAAACATGCTAATGTGATTTACCTCTAAGTTTTAATTTTAACATAGATACATAGAAATAAAGAAGTGAAAGGAGGGAAGAGGAGGGAGAAAGGGAGAAAGGCAAGGAGTAGAGGAAGGAGAGGGAAGGGAAGGGTGGAAGGGAGGGGAAGGGAGAGGAGAAGAAAGAAGCAAGCTAGTTCAAGAACAGAGCTTTGGGGGTGGAGGTGGGGATGCATTTCAGTGGTGAGCACTTGCCAGAGTTTCACACCCAATTAAAGATTTCTTTCCATGGGAGAAGACAGTTGCATTCTTGGGTTGTTCCTTTGTTTAGCCTCTTGTAGATCGTAATTAACATTCCAGGACAGTGTACTAAAACAAGGTAGGTAACAGGTGTAAGTGGGAGAAGGGTATTGAGAATGGAGAGGAGGGAAAGGATGATGTAAAACAGAGTTAATGAGGGCAGGGGATGTGGCTCAGTGGTAGAGAGTTTGTCTAGCATATGGGTAGGATCCCCAGCATGGCAAAAAATTAAAAAATTAAAATTAGATTAAATATGATTGATTACATTACCTACCTCAGTAGGTCTTTGTGGAGGTTAAATATATGAACACATGAACAGTACCTGGCACATACTAAATGTTCAGTAGTTTTTATTGTCATAGTTATTATTAATTTGTAAATTTTATGTTCATATACTTTGCCACTTCTTCAACTGAATTATTCGTTTTCTTTTTTTAATCTTATTGTATATTAGTGCTTTTAGCTATTTTCATATAAACTACACATTTTATTTACTTACTTATTTTTGGTAGTACTGGGGATCAATCCAGAGCCTGTGCATGCTAGGCAGGCACTCTATCCCTGAGCTACGCACTAACCCCTATAAATGCTTTTGTCAGTTTTAATACTTTAAAATTTTTCTCTTTTATATTTAATAATTGACTAAAGTGTTGATCGAGCTTTAGTTTTTCTGCAAATACTCCTTCCCCATCCCCTCAAAATGGCCTTTTTTTTTTCGGTATCAGGGATAAAACCCAGGGGTACTTATCCACTGAGCCACATCCCCAGCCCTTTTTATTGTTTATTTAGAGACAGGGTCTCACCAAATTGAACTTGTGATCTTCCTGCCTCAGTCTTTTGAGCAGCTGGGATCACAGGCATGTGCCACCATGCCCAGCTTAAAATGGCATCTTTCTTTCTTTTTTTTTTAATATTTATTTTTTAGTTTTAGGTGGACACAATATCTTTATTTTATTTTTATTTGGTGCTGAGAATCGAGCCCAGTGCCTCACACATGCTAGGCGAGCGCACTACCACTTGAGCCACATCCCCAGCCCAAAAAATGGCATCTTTCACTTAGCATGATGTTTCTGAGGTTCATCCTTGTTATAGAAGTCTGAGAACTTCATTGTTTTTGAAGGCTGAGTAACACTCCATTGTATGGATATGTCACATTTTATCCGTTCATCAGTTGATGAGCATTTAGATTGTTTCCATCTTTAGGATGCTAAGAATAATGTTGTTGTAATATTTTTGTACATATGTTTGTGCAGAAGTAAGTTTGCATTTCTCCTGGCTATATACCTAGGGGTAAAATTACTGGGTAAAATGGTAACTCTTCAATCATTTGAGAAACTGTTGCACTTTCCAAAGTGCTTGTATCATTTGACATTCTCACCAAGGCTTGTTTATTTTCTTTTCTCTCTCTCTCCCTCTCTAACTCTTTTTTCCCCTGGCGAGCCTCAAGAGTGTGAAATAATGTCCCATTGTGGTTTTGATTTGCATTTCTCTGAGGACAAATGATGCTGAGTAGGGCTGGGGTTGTGGCTCAGTGGTAGAGTGCTCGCCTAGTGCGGGTGAGGCACTGGGTTCGATCCTCAGCACCGCATAAAAATAAATGAATAATTTTAAAAAATGATGCCGAGTGTCTTTTCATGTGCTTATTAGTCATTTACATATCTTCGTAGGACACATGTCTATTGACAGTTTTATTTTGCAGTGCTGGGAATTGAACCCAGGACCATGTATATGCTAGGCTGACTTTGAACTTGCAATCCTCCTGCCTTGGCAGAAGTTGCTGGGATAATAAGTGTGTACCATCCCACCTGGCTTTGTTCCCAGTTTTTAAATTAGGTTAGTTTAAATTGTTGAGTTAAAAGAATCTCTTGTATACCAGACCCTTACACATAATAATTTGCAATTTTTTTTCCATTCTATTGGTTACTTTTTGGATTCCTTATAGTGTTCTTTGATGCATACATTTTAAAAATTTCAGTGAAGTATAGCTTATTTTTTTTTTGTTTGCCTATGTCTAAAGCTTTATGCCTTTAAATTTTTTGTCTAATTCTTAAATTTAGGTCTATGATCCATTTTGATTAATTTTGATTAGTATGAATCGAGGGTCTGACTACTCTTTTGCATGTTGCTGTGCAGTTGTATCTGCACCATTTGTTGAAAACACTATTCTTTCCCTGATTGAATGGTCTTGGCCTCCTTGTTGAAAAATTATCAATGTATGAGCTTCTTTCTGGATTCTCATTCTGTTCCATTGATCTATGTGTCTATAATTAAGCCAGTACCACGATGAGATTTTTAAAACTCCTAATGGATACCTAGTTTCATTGAATGCCTTTAATTGATCAGATCAAATGTTTGTTCTCATCTGTCATTTTAACATGATGGGGAGCTAAGTATTTTCTAATACTGACCATCCTTGAGCTTGAGGGCTAGGTTATGTTCTCTATTTAGATATTCTGTTACCTAGTTAAGGTGGAAGCTAAGGAAGGTGAGCATTGCTTGAGAGGAATTGGATTGCTACTACTCCTTGGTACTTATGATAATCAGTAGTGTCCACACTTGGCCATTGATGGCAACCTATTACCCCAAACTTGGGGGCTTTTCTGGTCTTTCTTGTGTCAGAATTCTTGTATCCTCATTGTTATCAGTGAGCTCAGTTCTGTCACAGCATTTCTGGTTGTCAGTCCTCACCTACAGAAGAGCTTCTCAGTGCTGTTAGGTAGTGCTCCTCTCACCAGCATTTCCCTGTTCCTCCCATAAAGGGTATAATCTGGAGGGTTTTCCTGTCTATTTAATAGGAAAATAGGATATCCACTGTAGCAGACTCACGTCTTTGAGTCTAATACTTCTTCCACTGTTTACTATGGGCATCGGCATCCTGCCTTATTCAATGTGAGCTATTGTGTATTAGTTTTCTATTTCTGCTTAAGAAATTACTACAAACTAGCCAGGTGTGGTGGTGCACGGCTGTAATCCCAGTGACTCAGGAGGTTGAGGTAGGAGGATCACAAGTTCAAAGCCAGCCTCAGCAACTTAGCCAGGCCCTAAACAACTTAGTGGGTCCCTGTCTCAAAACAAGAAATAAAAAGGGCTGGGGATGTGGCTCAGTGGTTAAGTACCCTTAGGTTCAATCCTGGTACCAAAACAATAATAATAATAATAATAATAATAATAATAATGTATAATAATAATAATAATAGTAATAATAATTATTATTATTATGA